GGCAGATGCTCAACTGACTGAGCCACCCAGGCGTCCCGCATCCAACTCTTGATCTCAGCTCAGGTCTTCATCTCAGGGTCATGAGTTCAAGCCCCACGTTGGGCTCCATGGTGGTGTGGAGCCTACTTCAAACAAATAACAACAAAAACATGCAAAGAAAAAGCACTCAGACGGGTAGTGGCCAGCCCCCCCCCCCGCACCCCCATCACGCAGGAGGCTGCATCAGTTGCCAGCAGGAGCTTCTGTCATAGTCCTGGCCCACCTAGGAGAGAGACTCAAGACCTGGCTTACCGGTTGACCAGGTTAAAAACAATTAGCCCAAAGTCACTTTTTCCCTCCGTGCATGTGCACTTGAAATTTTTTCGAAGGAGCAGTTTGCCATTGTGTCCACACTAGTCCTCCCATCAAACTAACAAGGCCAGCTAGGATTTACAATCACTGCAGCCCTCGGATTATTGTTCTAAGCTGGTGCAACCAGATGGGAAAGATATTCCCCCTATTTGTTTGTTCTTTATTTTGTAATTAGCTACATCTTGCAGCTGCACAAGCAGAAATTCTTGAATATCTGACTTGGTTTTCTAATAAAAAATAATAACTTTAGGATTGAGATATTTATAAGACACAGAATCTCAATTAAAAAATATATATGGAGAGACACCTGGCTGGCTCAGTTGGTAGAGCGTGGGACACTTGATCTCAGGGTCGTGAGTTTGAGCCCTGAATTGGGTATAGAGTTTACTTTAAAAAAAATTAAGTTTATACCTGGGCGGCTCAGTCGATTAAGCGTCTGCCTTCGGCTCAGGTCATGATCCCGGGGTCCTGAGATCGAGCCCCACATCAGGCTCCCTGCTCCGCGGGGAGCCTGCTTCTCTCTCTCCCACTCCCCCTGCTTGTGTTCCTGCTCTCGCTGTCTCTCTCTCTGTCAAATAGATTAATAAAAAAATCTTTTAAAAAAGGAAAAGGGAAATGAAGGCAGGACTTCAACTGTTGTTTCAGCCACTCAGGGGTAGTAGCTGGGGCGGGGGTGGGGCAGGGTAAAGGAGTGTGGCAGCTCCCAGCAAGCCTTCGGTGCCCAACTAAGAAGCTCCACTGTTGAGTCTCCTACTAATTAGCCACTGTTTATTAAGTCTAGTTGTCTCTCAGTCTTTGTGATGTCTCCATATCCTCACAACAACTTCTCGGGGAAAGGATTGCCTTCCCTATTTACAGTTGAAGAAACAGGCTCAGAGAGGGAAAGTAACTTGCACTGAGTCACACAGAGCTGCAATTTGAACCTGAGTTTTAGTGATTCCATAGCTTTTTGTGGTAACAGTCCCACTGCTTGCTTTGTCAGTGAGGTCCCCGAGAACCCAGAGGGGTTGGAGCAAGGGCCAGGGGCGGAGCAGGGTGATACCATGTTTTACGGGGGCATTTCTAGGCAAGATGTCTCCCCAGCTACACTATGAGCCTGGGCAAGTCTGTCTCAGCCACTTCCTCTGTCCTCTGATGGCAGTCTCCTTGCCAGGACCAGATGCGAGCTGAGTTGAGAGCATCAAGTGGGCCCCAAACCACCAGGGCTCCCCAAGGCTTGGCAGAGTCAGGGTGGAAAGGAGAAGAGCAGAAGTGGGGCAGAAGCTGTTGGGAGCAGGGAGCAACCTGGGGAGTTTCTCCCCAAGGTCAGCAGACCATTAGAGTCAAAGGTAGAAGGCCCTTAGAGGTCATGTAGTCCAGTGGTCTCTTCTGTATGGAAGAAGGAGCTTGATACCCACTGGGGAAGGTGGTCTGCCCCAGGTCACCCAAGAGTCTGTCAGACTCTCAACCAGAATCCACACCTCTTAACTCCAGTGCCAGTGCCAAGAGGGAAAGTTGATAAGTTGGTGCCAAGATGGGACAGGTGACAGAGAAAAGCAGAATGACTGCCTGGCTCTGCCACCTCCCTACTATGTGACTTTGGGGAAGTCACTTCCCTTCTCTGAGCCTCATGGTCTCTTGCTTCAAACAAGATCATGATCTCAGCTCTGCCTTTCTGCCAAGGAACATCCAGTGAGCGATGAAAGCTCTTTACAATCTGCAGGGCCCTGCAGGAGGAGTCACCAACAAGAGGCAGGCTGACGCCAGGTGGGTGGGTGCCAGGGCTGGGCCTGCAGCTTCCTGGGTCTCTGCCCAAGCTTTACCATCTGTGTGGTAGCGTCAGCCCCACCTCCTCCCGCTTCCCTGCCAGGAAAACGGCTTCTGGGATCTTCCCTGTCCCTTCCCAGCCAGATCCTCTTCTCTCCCCTTCTATTTTAATCAGGACTCTGGGTTGCAAGTGACAGAAATCACAAGTACAAGGAGGGAGAATTCGTTTTCGGCATGGCTAGATCCTCAGACCGAAAACGATGTGACCTGGGCACTCCCCTCGCTTGTTCACTCTTTCTCCCTTTCTGTCCCTTTGAGATGGCAAAGACAGCCACCAACAGCTCTGAGTGACACTGTACCCGTTCAGATACCCTGGCAGATAGCATCTCTGTCCCGGCTGCTCCAGCAGCTCTCCGGGGTGACTCTCGGGAGCAAGCCACAGGGCGAGTGCCCAGCGCTGACCAGATCCCTGTGTGTCAATTATCTGGTTAGGACTGAGTCATGAGCCCACTGCTGAAATTAGAGGTGGGCTCAGCCCCACCCAAGGCACATGGACTAAAGGTCCAGGAGGCGGTTCCCAAAGAGATGGGTTCTTTCACCAGGAGAAGAAGTATTGGACAGTCAATAACAATGGATGTCATTGGCACCTTTGTTCTTAAGTGTATCAGCTGAAACATTGAACCAGGGGCTCCTGGAAAGGGAGGATTGATTGAATCCTGTATCGGTTAGCTTTTGCTGGGTAACAGATCATTCCAGAGCAGCAGTTTAAAACAATCATTTTATTTAGTTCTTGATTCTGTAGGTCAGCTGGGTGATTCTTCTGGTCTGGCTACGTGTTTTTTGGTCAGTTGGTGGGTTGGTTGGCATCAGAATGATCTAGGATGGCCTCACTCACATGTCTGATGGTTGACGGGCTATCATCTGGGGGGCCTTCGTTCTCCTCTTATCCTCCAGCGGGTCACAGGAGCTCTTCCACATGGTGTTCTCTGTGTTACAGGTGTAGGAAGTGGGCAAGCTCCAGGGCACAAGCAATTTTTTCAAAAGGTCTTCACTTGCACTATGCTTCCTAAAGTCCCATTGGGCAAAGCAAGTCACATGACCAAGCACAGAGTTACTGTAGAAGGGTACTGCCAAAGAGCATGGGGACAGGGAGAGAAAGAACTTGAGGTCAGTTTTGCAACCTACTGTAGCTCCCTTGGGGAAGGGGAGTAAAAAAAAAATTCCTTTCTCTGCAGCCCATAGATTTCATGGGCCAGGGCAACCTCCAGATAGCAGTCCTTGGAAGAGGGAACTCAGGCCCAGGGACTTTCCTGGGCCCTTCAGCACCGTGGCTCAGCCCTTGGCCAGGGCTGGGGGAAGCGGTCTGGATCCTAACTCCACCTGCTTCGAGCCCCACATGAGGCAGGGGCTGGTGCTAACGGGGAGTGCCTCTTGGCAGGGAGGAAGGTGTTCTGAACCCCGGCTCTCTTCTGTTAGCTGTCCCCAAAGTGATGAGCAGGGCTCCGTCTCAGTTCATCCCCGCAGACTTGCTTCCATCTCCCCACCTCCCTGTGGTCTTGCGGGGCTGGGATGGCTCTGGACTTGTGTACAGTCAGGCCACAGTGCCTCGTCACCATGGTAAGGGGTGTCACCTGCTCCACGAGGTCGAGGAGGAGTCCCTGTCCTCCCCTTTCAGGCGGTGACCGTGGCCTCAGCCTGCTCTCTCCCACAGGTCGCTGCGCTGGAGCGGCAGATCTTTGACTTCCTGGGCTATCAATGGGCTCCTATCTTAGCCAACTTCCTGCACATCATGGCAGTCATCCTGGGCATCTTTGGCACCGTGCAGTACCGTTCCCGGTACCTCATTCTGGTATGGCTCCCTTGGCCCCTCCCACCCCCCTGCCCCTCCAGGCATGAACTGCTCCCCCTTCCCTGGGTGCCCAGACCCCTGCCCTGTCTTAGCTCCAGCCCGGCTGGTGGTGGATGCCCAAGTCCCAATGCTTCTTTGCTCAGCAGAGAGACGAGATTGATATTTTCCCTAAAGGATTTCCTAGGGAAGAATCCAAATATTAACCCGCTAGGTCATTTAGTGAGTGTCTACCATGTGCGAAGCGCACTGCTAAAAGTTTCGCATGTTTACTTATCTTTACAACAGCCCTGCAAGGGATATCTTACCATCTCCATTTTCCAGATGAGGAAATGAGGCTCAGAAAGGTTACGAGGCTTCCTAAGGTCACACAGCTAATAAGTGGCAGGATTAGAGCATCAGACCCAGAGCGAAGGCTCTTGATACATGCCCATGCTGCCTCAGTAAGCCAGTGCAGGGACGGACTTCATCTTCTCTAGCTTCTCAGGTTGCTTTAAGAGGCTGGCTTGGCTTTGGTCCTTTGCTGTTCATCAAGAATGTGGTATGATGGCAAGTGGGGCTTTGAGGTCAGTGCCTTCTGTGCTCTGATCCCAGGAGTGGATTGTGTCCCTGCCTCCCTCCTGCTTCCTCTTCCCAAGCCTTGGTCCTTGATGGTCTCTGTTAAACTCCTGTGTTTAGCTAGGCTCACCCTTCTCCCCTGCTCTTCCTTAGTGACCCATTCACATGCCTCTTTGGAGGGAAAACGGACACCTGTGATGACAATGACATGCTTTGCCATGCTCCTGCCACAGCCCATTCTGGCTCATTCTTGGGCTTCGCCCACCTCCCACAGGCTGAACCTCCCAGAAGCTGGGTGGGCAGGGCCCTTCCAAAGCTCTATCTCACCCGGGTTGGGAGAATCCTTCTCTCCAGCTCTCGGGAAAGCCCCAGGCACTCCGTTAAGCAGCACTGTGTGCTGGGTGACAGAACTGGAATTGCAGGCCCAGGACTTGGGTGGAAATACCCCCTCCTCTCCAGCTCTGTGGAGCCAGGTTGTGTCTATTGTTCTCTGCAGAATGCATCGGATTAGCTGCCAGAGGACTGGAGCCTGAGGAGCAGCCCTATCTCTTCCTAGCTGTGTGATCTTGGAAAACTGAAACCTCCTCTCTAGCGCTTACGTTGGTTATCTTTAGAGAAAGAACAGTGCCTTCCATGCAGGGCTGTTGTAAGGACCGGACGGATGTAATAATGATTTGTAAACTCTAAAGTGCTCTCTGCGTGAGATAGTGCCATCATTTCTCCTTGCAAAGGTCCCCTCGGTCCCTGAGCTCTGTCTCCATTGACAAGCCCCATCCCCGCTCCCCCAGGCCCCACCCTGATCCCACCTCTCCTTTCTCCAGTATGCAGCCTGGCTGGTGCTCTGGGTTGGCTGGAATGCATTTATCATCTGCTTCTACCTAGAGGTTGGACAGCTGTCCCAGGTAAGCCTCAGGCCTGGCAATGCCAGATGGCAGAGCCTGACCTTTCCTATCCCCTACCCCAGGGGCTCCTAGTTTGGTCTGGGGCATCATCTCTTGAAGAGACCTCCCTCTACACACCCAAATGATCTGTGCTCCTCAGACCCTACCCCCACATTTTAGTTTCTGGCCTCTTCTGCACTTCTCAGAAACAAATGATGGAGCAGATAAGGCTGAGGGGCCGTGAAGATGGGCGGTGGTCCCACTTGATCACAAGCTCAGTAGAAACCAACCACTTGTCGTGGCCCTGAAACAAAAGTGCTCTTGGGCTCCACACGTGTTCAGGGCAAGGGAGGTGAAAATGTCATGTACAGCATTTGGTAACTGCTTAGGCCACAAAGATTTGAGTCCAGTTCTGATCAATATTTTCAGAAGGGAAAGAGACGAAGTAGTCTTTGGGGAAAATCGAGTGGACCAGATCCCATGCAGAACTATTGAAGAAAGGGGAAGTTTTTAGCTTGTGGAAGAGCAGGCCCAGAGGATACAACTTCTATTTTTAGTATGTAAGAGGGGAAAATATATGAATGGGAACATTGGCTTTGTAGTTCTGGTAGATCTAAGTCCCGGCTCCAGCATTTCCAAACTGTGACCCCTGGGCATGTGTCTCACCCTCTCTGAGCTTGAGTTTCCCTGTCTAGTGAGCGCAGATAACCACTTCATGTGGTTGCCGAGGATGAAATGAGATCATACATCCCATCGCAGGGCTTGGCACCTGGTCAGCACCCAGTGAATATTTGTTAACAGGCTGCATGATGAATGGATTGATAAACACAGAGATGCGCACCGTGGGTGAGAACCTCTGATCTAGGCCAGCCCCTTCTGCATTTCAGATGGGGAGACCAAGGACTAGAGAGGACAGGTTTGCCCAGGGCCACACCCAGAGAGCAGTGGAGAGGCTGAACGGGCTGTGAAGGGGTCTGTATTGAGGATTTCACCCATGGCTGGAAAACTGGACTCAGCCACTGTTAGGGTCCCTTCCATCCCTGAAACTTTGGGGCTTCTGTGGGTCAGTCAGCACCAGCCCCTTTCATCTCTGATGGAAGTGTGAGACCTACATAGTCATCAAGCGCCACCTACTGGCCAAATATAGACTTGCAGAAATGGGCTCCCTCCGTACTCTTCAAAGCAAGCCAGGAGAGGAGGCTGCTACAACAGTCCAGGTGTGACGTAGATCTTATATAAAGTTTCCTGGGGCCTGGGGAAGATCCCCCCGCCCCTGGCCCCAGCTCAGTATTCTAGGCCCCTCTGCCCCCAGGACCGGGACTTCATCATGACCTTCAACACATCCCTGCACCGCTCCTGGTGGATGGAGAATGGGCCAGGCTGCCTGGTGACACCTGTCCTGAACTCCCGCTTGGCACTGGAAGACCACCATGTCATCTCTGTCACCGGCTGCCTGCTTGACTATCCCTACATCGAAGCACTCAGCAGTGCCCTGCAGATCTTCCTGGCTGTGAGTCTTCCTGTCCCCGCTGGCCCACACACTCCCAGAGGTGGACTCCACCGCAACCCCTTTGTTTAGCTCTAGTTAAGAAGGGAAGAACCTAGATCTTCCAGCCTGCCTGTGCTTCTGCCTGGCTCTGTCTCCATATCTTGTATCTCCTCCCTTCACCCCCTGCCCCAGCTCCCATTCTAGGAGTGAGCAGGTTTAATGAATATGATGAGTCATCAGACTATGAGTCAACCCAGTCTCCAGTGTATCTGCTGTGTGACCTTGGGCAAGTCACTTGCCCTCTCCAAGTTTATATGCTTATTAACAGAAATTCATGACCACCTCAACTGTGTAGAGTTGTGAGAGTTAAAGAAGAGTGGCTCCAAGATAGTAATATAGTTCCCAGTCTTGCCCTCAGCGCCCCACACACCCAAAGCCACATAATCCTCATTCCTCTTAACAAACCAGTGAAGTATTGCCCAGGTCCAGCTGGGAAAACTGAGGCCCAAAGAGGTAAAATTATGACTTGTCCAAGTCCACTCACAGAACGGATAATGGGACCAGGTATGTTTGATTATAAGGCCCAGTCATTTAACTTGAAGTTGTTATGGGTTGGCCTTCATCCTCGCACACCCAGTCCCTCCTGTCCTTCTGGGCCCGGCCAGGCAGGGGGTGGAGGAAGAGCTTCTGTCTTCTTTCCTTTCACCCCCAGCTGTTTGGCTTCGTGTTCGCCTGCTACGTGAGCAAAGTGTTCCTGGAGGAGGAGGACAGCTGTGAGTGCCGAGCCCCTAGGGAACGGGGAAGCCTGGCCACACACCACCCCGTGACTTCAGCACCCTGGACAGAGCCCCGCGCGGCCTGGGAGGGAGGAGACCTGGGTTGGCCAACTGGTTCCTCTTGGTGGGGAAGAAGAGGCGGCAGGGGTGGTGGCGGTCGGCATAGCCAGCGCATTCTGGGCTGTGACCCAGACACCCAGGTGCCCAGTGCACGGCTCCAGCACTGCTCTCCACCCACTCCTCTTAGGTTCTGTCCCTCCGAGGACCTCCACGGGGCTCGCCCCTACCAAGCACCTCCCGCGCCCAGCCTCGTCCCCCGACTACCGTCCACCCCCACCTCCCAGGTCTTGCCCCCTTAAGTGGCTCAAGCCCTGCTCCCTTAAAGGACGGCCCACCCCCCGAGGCTTTCCATCCACTTGGGCTTTGGCCCACTCTGGCTGAGCTCCTGAAAATCCCGCTCTGCTCCGCATAGGTCCTGCAGCAAAGCCCCGCCCTAAGGCTCTGTACAGGGGTCTGGCCCTCAGATTCTTCCTTTTCAGGACCTAGCCTCCCATAACTCATACCCCACAGGCTCATCCCTAACTATGCGCCACCTCCCCTTCCGCAGTTGACTTCATCGGTGGCTTTGACTCCTACGGATACCAGGCGCCCCAGAAGACGTCGCATTTACAACTGCAGCCTCTGTACACGTGGGTCATGGTGCCCAGCGGGGTGGGGTGGAGGGACTAGGGCGTTGCTGTAGGGGAAGGAAAGGCAGGGAGGCGCGGGGAGGGCAGCCGAACCTCTCTGCGGGTCCACTTCCCTAACCGGCCTTTGTTTCCTGCAGGTCGGGGTAGCTTCTGTCTCGCGCCCATCCAGTTGCCACGAGCTTGCTGGCTGGACTGAAGCCCTGGCGCGAGCTCGGGCCGAAATAGCAGGCGCGCCTCCTGGCGGCTCGCGAACCGACTGCAGCCTGCTCCGGCTGGGTCTGCGGCGGACTTGGACTTGGCCCTTCCAGCCCGACTCCAGGGGTGGGACGGGCTGGGCGGGGGAGGGGGATCGCGGGGTTTGTATTTTTTTTATCTCAGCCTTGGCGTGCGCTGGGGCCTCCCTCCCTTCTCCAGCCGCTCCCTTTAGAAACCCTTCACCCCACTTCCGGTCCCCTGTCCAGGGAGAAATGGCATTTGCCCCATCTCACCACACTCGTTCACCAGCCCTGGGGAGAGTTACTGTGAACTAGAAGCAGGAGTCCTGGGTTCCAGTTGCAGCTCCGTCACCGACTCTCTGTGTGACATCTGGCAAGGCCCTTCCTTGCCCTCTCTGGGCCTCAGTTTCCCTCAATTAAAATAATCTCTTAGCAGATGGAGCTCTTTCTAGCCTTTTCATTTGACTCTTAATTCCAGGGGCTAGGCTGGGATTATAATTCCCATTTTGCAGATATGGAAACTGAGGCCCGGAGATATGAAGTGATTTGCTTGAGGCCACACAGCTAGGCTTTTGGTGGAGGCAGGCCTTGAACACAGCATACCTTCTGTAGTTTCAGGCTCCAAAACCCAGTGTCTGGTCTCTGAATCCCATTTCCAAGCCCCCATCCAGCTGGGACACTCTAGAACCCACGTGATCTACATCACACACACCACCACCACCACCCCTCGCCAGCACCTCTCTTGAAGCAATATACCTGTTCTCCTGTTGGGAACCAGATGAACAGAGCCCAGAGCCCTGAATTCAGCCTGACCCACAGGGAAGCCCTCCTAGACTCGGCCCCCATCCACCCTTGGCCAACCTTTCAAGCTCATTCCAGTAAGGGGGGTGGGCATATCTCAGCCACCCCACCCCCTTCCAGGTCCCTGAGGCCGGGTCTGCTGCAGCCATGATCCCCTTTCCTCTCAGCAACCCCACCAACCCCTGATGGCTCCATCCACGTCACCCGTTGGAAGACTTGTGGTTCCAGAATGGAAGACAGCTGGTCAGCACCTCCCAATCACCAGTTTTCAAAGATCACCAGCGTTTATGACCACTCCAATATCAAAGAGAAACCTCTAACAAGCCCAGAAGGAGTTGTGAAGAGGCAGACTAGGAGTGTGGGTCGTGGTGTGGGGTCGGGAGGGCCAGCACCCCTGAGAGCAAACAGAGATGAGAGCTCATTCTCCCCATCTCCTTCCACAGACACCCCTGAGGATCTTACTTCCTGTGTACTGGCCGTGAGTCCAAGGGCAGGAGGGGCAGCCCTCAGCTTCCCAGTCTGTGAAACAGGAGTGGCCTTGGATTAGGAGGGAGGGCAGGAGGCGTGGGGGAATGGGAGGGAAACACAGATGGTTTGTATACCTGAGCCCATCCATGGTGACCACTCCACTCCTTGCTCTCTACCCTCTGATCTAGCCTTCCCTACATCTGAGGCCAAAGCATCCTGAGCTAAGACCCCACCCCGCCATCCCCTCGGCAGTGTTCTGCCAAGGAGCCAGCCCCAGGAGTTCCACTGGTCACCCCAGGCACTGAGGTCCCATATGGTCTGCCCAGGTAGCTAGGAGTGCTGTTCAAGAAGGGGGCAGCTCCCTTCGGACCTGGCTGCTATCCTGCCACCAGCCCTCTCCTGTCTCCAGTCCTCTCCTCCCACCCCCACTCCCCAGCCTCCTTTCTACTCAACGGGTTTAGCCACTGGTGCTTTGAAGCCTTTTGTTTTTATAAGATGGTTTTTGCAAGGGACCAAGTTCTTTTCTCACTGGGACCTTGCAAGGCAGGGAGTGTACCCTGGTTTCTGTGCAGGTGGGTTAATTAAAGATGGTGTTTTCTTCTCTATCATCCTGTCCTCCTGCCCAGTGAGTCAGCAGGGTCCCTGCTTGAGGGTGAGCAGGGGCTGGGAGTCAATGTCATTGTCATTATCATTCCTGGGGCACTGGCCTGTGCTTCTGACTGGCTGTGTAGCTTTGGGAAGTCACTCTTCCTCTCTTTCCTCATCCATAAAATGCAGAGGTGGGGCTCAATCAGTGGGTTCCCAAGCCTGGCTCACAATCCCTTGGAGAACTTTCTATTCATTTTTCTGAGTATGTGGATTGTAAGTTTATGCTTCCAAATATCCTTTGCTTCTCGAGTCTGCCCTCTTCCTGACAACTCAGTTCCTGACTTAGAATGAGCTGGCAGATAATGCTTTAGACGTAGATTCCTGGGACATCCTGGATCTTTTCTAGCAAGACAGCCAGAATCAGTATTTTGAATATTTAAAATTTTATTTACTTTTGTGAATAGATAATATGTATATTGGTACAGAATTCAGAAAGTTCCAGGACTTTATGTCTTTTTACCTATTTTTCATATCTTTCCAAAGAGAGACAATTCTTCGTTAACTGACGTAAATATTTTTGCCCCTTTTCACACAAATGGCAACATGCTCTACTCAATCTTTGACTTCTACTGCTTCTTCTACTTAACTCTGAATCTTGGAAACCTTCCCCCAATAATACACGTGGAGCTGCCTCCCTTTCTTCCATGGTGATTTGGTAGAATTAGGACTTGTGTGAAGATTCCCAGGTAATCCTGATGCGGCTAGGGGCTAAGAACCAGAGGTTCTACACAAGATGCCCCGAGTTCATGATGCAAACCTCTGCGGATGCCTCCTGGCCATGGAGTTCAATCACAGATACCGCCTTCAAGGAGTTTATGGTTCAGTGGGGAGCCCCCAGGATGGGAACACTGGTGGGTGGTCAGTGCTGAGGACAGGGTGGAGTGAAAGGCCACCTGAGGGTCCTGGACAGGGACAGCAGCATGAGCACAAGTGTGGAGGGAGGGGAACACGTGGTATCGGGGGAGGGGAAGAATAGCCAGGGACAAACTGGTTGGAGGGAACTTTGATTGGGAATGTATTAGTTTCCTATTGCTGTCCCAGATTACCACAACATTAGTGTCTTAATACAAATGTAATGCCTTATGGTTCTGTAGAGGTTGGACATGAGTCTCACTGGGGTAAAATCAAGATGTCTGGAGGGTTGCATTTCTTTCCGGAGGGTCCAGGGGAGAATCTATGTCCTTGCCTTTTCTAGCTTCTAGAGGCTATCCCCATTTCTTGGCTTGTGGCCCCTTCCTCCATCTTCAAAGCCAGCAATATCCTATCTCTTTGACCTTCCAGCATCACATCTTCCCACAGCCATGAAAGGTTCTCCACTTTTAAGGGCTCCTGTCATCAGGTTGGGCCCAACCAGATAATCCAGGATGATCTCCCCATTTCAAAGTCCCTTTTGCCATGTAACACATTCACACGTTCCAGGGGTTAGAATGTAGACACCCTTGGGAGCCATTATTCTGCCTTCCAGGATAGGAATTGTATCCAGGTTTTTATAGCAGCCCTAATGTCAAATCAGAGCACATCAGCCTGAGTGATGTAGATGGGAACTACTGAAGGATTTTGAGCAGAAGCTACTCCGTTAGAGCTGTCTTTATGGGAGAAGATATTTGCAAATAACATATCTAATAAAGAGTTAGTGTCCAAAATACATAAAGAACTTGTAAAACTCAACACCCCAAAAAATAGTTAATCCAGTTAAAAAATGGGCAGAAGACATGAGTAGACATTTTTCCAAAAAAGACATACAGATACGTGAAAAGATGCTCAACATCACTCATCATCAGGGAAATACAAACCAAAACTAAAATGAGATGTCACTTAACGCCAGTCAGAATGGCTAAAATTAACAACACAGGAAGCAACAGGTGTTGGTGAGGCTGCAGAGAAAGGGGAATTCTTTTTACACTGTTGGTGGGAATGCAAGCTGGTGCAGCCACTCTGGAAAACAGTATGGGGGTTCTTCCAAAAGTTAAAAAAGAACGACCCTATGACACAGCAGTTGCACTACTAGGTATTTACCCAAAGGATACAAAAATGCTAATTTGAAGTTTTAAGCAGCAATGTCCACAATAGCCAAATTATGGAAAGAGCCCAAATGTCCATCAACTGATGAATGAATAAAGAGAATGTGGAGTCTATATACAATGAAACACTACTCAGCCATAAAAAGGAATGAAATCTTGTCATTTGCAACAACACAGATGGAGCTAGAGAGTATAATGCTGAGCGAAATAAGTCAAAGAAAGACAAATACCATATGCTTTCACTCATATGTGGGATTTAAGAAACATTAGAGCTGTCCTTTAGCAAGAACGGGCAGGGCTGGAAGCGTGGGGTGGAGGAAGAAGGCAGGAAGCAGGGTTTCATCTGGAAGAGACCTCAGATTTCTCACAACCCTCTGTAGATGTAGATGTGTGTTCTTGGGGATCCATGTGTGACAATGAGCTCTATGTGTAAACTTGGGAGGGTAATGATCAGCATGAACTGCAGGAGGCAGGCGTACCTAGGTCCAAATTCATGACTCTGGAACCAGTTGAGCTGGTCTTCCTACAAAGCCCAGTAAAGATCCCCCAGCTCCTGCCATCCTGGGGCCACCTCCCAGCAACCTCCACACACTAGAATAATCCAGGTAGGACAGGCCATCTTCCAGTAACTGCTGAATCACAAAGGGACCCAAAGCGTTCTTTAAAACTAGAATATGAATTCCCCAAGGTACATTTGACAAGCGCAAGAGTCTACTGGGACTTATACACACACGAGTGTTTTCTTTAATGCATAGGAATTGGATCTTGCAGTTTCTAAACAGATTAGGAACGGGGGGGGGGTGGCTGACACCAAGACCCCATTGCCTTACAGGATTCACTACTCCACAGGCTGCTGCCCCAGGGCACTGTTTCTCTAGTTTCCAGAGCATAAGAATCCCTTAACATCCGAATTCCTGATCCTGAGCCAGAATGTACTGAACCCAACATCTCCTAGGCAGTGACAGGAAAACTGCATTTTTTTGCAAGTGCCCCCTGTGATCCAGGTTTGGGAAATCCTAGACCTGGATAAAGAGGCATTCAGACATTTTTGGAACTCCCCTTACTCCAATGTCTTCGAGTTCCCACCGAATTATACCTGCCAGCTTCCTCGTACCAGAGCTAGACTTTAAGGCTCTCTCCCCTAAGCTGGATTTTGTTACTGACAATCTTACGGCGTGTGTGTGTGTGTGTGTGTGTGTGTGTGTGTGTGTTTAGTGTGTTAGTCATTTCAAAGGCTGTGATCTACTCCTGAATTTAAACATCGACATAACTTCACCCCTAGGTTAGTTTGGGCAAAGGCAGGTCCAAGCCCTGCCTTCCGCTCCCTTAGCCTCAGTCGCCTAGAGGAGGAGGCGAGGGCAGCTCCAAGTTGTCCCACTGCCACCTGAGCTGGGGACCACACCCTGCCCTGAGCCTGTTCCAGTGACTCAGCACTTCCCCTTAAAGGTCGCCCTGGAATCGGACTGGGCAGGCCCGGGCAGGCTGGAGCTGCAGAGAGAGCCCTGTGCTGGGCATCCGGGACCTACATTCTAGTTCTTCCTGTGCCCCGCACCCACCCGGGGCAGCTTCTCCACCTCCGGCCTTGGTGACTTCCTGCGTGCAATGAGAGGGCTGGACTTTGATCTTCCTGGGCTTCTTCAAACTGCAGACATTCTGGAACAGGGCTTCTCAACCCTAACTGTACTCAGGATGCCTTTTTTAAAACACAGATTTCTGGACTCCACTTGCATCCCAGGTTCTAATTCACTGGGACCCAAGCATCTGAATTCATCCTTCAAATATTTATGAAGCACCTACTATGTGCCAGGAATTGGAGATATAGCAGTGAACAAAGCAAACGGTAATAATCCCTGCTCTGGGGAGGGTATCTGTTGGGAGGAGACCTACATAAATAAACCAGTAAATATATGGTATATCAGAGAAGTGTCACAGAGCAAAATGATAGGGAAGAGAAATAAAAGACCTGAAGAAGGTTAGGTTAGAAAGCAAGGGAAGAGCAAGTGCAAAGGCCCTGAGACGGGAGCATGCCTGAACATTGGAGGGAAGCAAGGAAGCCAGTGTGGTTCAAAGCATGGAAAGGGGAGAGTGGTAGAAGATGAAGTCACAGGAGGGGGTGGGAGGTGGCATGTCTGATTCATTGACCTTGAAGGATATCATCAGGGTTTTAGCATTTAATCTGAGTGAGATGGGAAACCACTGGAGTAATAGAGCACAGAGCTGGGAGGATCCCTTTGGATACTGTGTGATGAATAGACTAGGAAGTCAGGAGCTGGAACGGAGACCAGGTCAGATGCCATCGAGGCAATCCAGGTGAGAGATGCTGGTGGTTCAGTCAAGGTGGCTGCAGTAGAGAGGGTGAGAAATGACTGGATTTCAATATGTTCTGAGGGTAGGACCAACAGATTTGCTGATGGACTGGATGAGGGAGGTGAGTGAAAGAGGGGTCAAACAGGACCCCAAGGTTTGTGGCCTGAGCAAGTAGCAGCTGGAGCTGCCCTTGAGATGGGATGACCGCAACAGGAGAAGGTTTGGAGGTGGACTTCAGCATTTTGGTGTTGGACAGGAAAGTCTAAGATGCCCATTAGATGCTCAGGTGGAGATGTCAAGGAGGAGAGTTCTGGGCTGATACAGAAAGTTTGGAATCATTGGTTTCGAGATAATGTTTCAAGTCATGAAAACGGAAGAAGTCACCAAGGAATGAATGCAGACAGGGGAGAGGGTTGAAGCCTGAGTCCTGGGGCTCTTCACCATTTGGAGTCGAAGAACATTCCATGGAGCCAGCAGAGAGCGCTGAAGTCGGGAAGCCAAGTGGCTCATCCGAACTAACATTTTTGAGTTGTCTCAGTTTACTGATTCCTCTTTGTCAAGGACTATTAACTGGGCACCTACTGTGTTCCAAGCACCATTCTAGACACTGAGGCTACAGCAACAAACAAGAC